AATACTTGAGACTTGTGCTTTGGCAAATACATGCATATCTATGCTATAATCATAATCTGAAAGTTCCATGAAGATCGTATTTCCAGAAGTTATTAAACAATTAAATTCTCATTGTAAGCCACCACTGCACTAGTTGCTCGAAGGTTTCAGGGGATCTCGTAGTCGAGCAGTCTCGACTAGAGCTTTCTTACTATAGTGCATTTGCCAAAACACATTTAGTGGTGAGGGGATGGAAATAAGGATATATATAAACTAAAATAAAATGGAAATTTTATAAAGTGGAGATGAATCTACATTTTAAATTTGGCGACTCTAGCTCTAAAGATGTAGGAGATATAAATTTGTTACTGATTTTCGATAATATTTTTAATCGATAAGAATATAAAGGGACAAGTTATCGATTTTTGGCCCTAGGAAAAAAAATTTCAATAATTCTCTAATTCTTATATCTTCTGAGATCAACGCGTTACAACATACGGGCAGGCGGACAACAGGCAGACAGACGAACAGGGCTAAATCGACTCAGCTCGACGCATTGATTAAATGACTTAATAAAACCAATATACCCTCATTTCTTATTTTCAATGGGTACTACGATTTATTACTACAATGGACGTCGATATATAATTGTTGGATGTATATTTATAGGATTGTAACATTAAATCCCGTGCCTAAATCGGACTGTCGATGATACAGTTTTACTCGATTTTCCACGACCCCGTTGGTCGTAGATATTTCCGCCATATCTTCTTAGGCAATTATTGATAATGCGAGTATACATTTCGAATTTCAACGTCCTAGCGCTCGAACTAGCCATGGAGTATCTAGGAGATACTAGGAAAATGTTTTTTTCCGATTTGTTACGCCTGGAGGAGTCAGAAACAGACAGCTAGACAGATAGCAAGGCAGATATGGCACAAAAGCAATATACTCTATTTACATTCAACGTTTATGCTAACCGAAAATGGTAGAAGCTTTAAAAAAAATACACATCAACTATTCGTAATTTATTGGCCTACGTGAAGATCATGTTAACAGAAAACTGCAATATTTTCTTATCTTCCCCATAGCCAGTAACTTATAAAGAAATTTTCAGATTCTTTCAATAAAACTATAAATCTATTTCAATAATGACTGATTGACAGAATTTTATTAGATCATATACGTATATTATTATATTACAATTTTATAATATTTTTATGTATATTTAAAAATAAAAGTCTGTAGCTCCCAAGGAAGAGAAGAAGATGAAAAATCCCAGATCCAGCGGCAATACTAAATAGTTTGTGTGCTTATGCAGTGTCTTAATAATGTTTCTCGTATGAGAGCCATTTTGGGCATTTTGAAGCATTTTAAATATGGTATATCCTCGTAGGTGCATTCGTTTTCTGCTGGATTGAATATTTAAGATGTAGTTCATTAATATCTAATACGGATTGTACATTTTGAAATTGAAACATGTGATTTACACTTTATCTTCGAATTCTTTCCTGCAGTACTTGCAGTAAACTCAAAATTCTTTGTGTTCGGCAAATGTATATACACAATAAAGCTGAAGTCTGCAGGTCTAACAGTATTAATATTAGGCTGGAAGAAAGCGAAATCAATTTATCGATTATTCTCGATAAATCGAAATCGGATGAGTTATTGAAAAAATATGATATACACGAGTATACATGCAAAGGTCTATAGCTCTTATATCTTCTGAGATCTCGATGCTCCTATGGATGAACGGATGGACAGACGGACATGGCTATATCAATTCAGCTCGTCTCCGCGATCAAGATTATATATATGTACTTTACCTTCTGCCTAATACATACATTTTCACAAATAACATAATAGCCTGATTCTCCATTTTTAATGAGTTCAGGGTGTACAAAATACAAGTAAGAGTGCTCTAGTTGAGACTGCTCGACTACGAGATACCCCGAACCCTTCGAGGAACTGATATTTCAATAACTTTTTGCATCTTTTCTGCTTGCAAAAGAAACAGCACATGCACATACACACACAAGCACAGGCCTACGCATACAGCGTTGGCTTACTATGGGAACTTAATTGTTTAATAGATGTAGTAGATGGAGTATCTTCTTGAAACTTTCGGACAAAACAAGTAAAAAACCTCCAGTCGAGACTACTCGACTAGGAGATACCCTGAACCCTCTCAGCTTATATTCTAATCATTCTGCACTTCTTTTATGCACACATACATACACATGCATCCACACGTACGCATAAGCTTGCGCTCTGCTAGCTGCGCAGTAAGCAGCAACTGCGCTTGGGCTGCTCTGCAGTGTGGGCAATATTATGAGAATTTATTTGTTAAATAATTTCTTTTGTAGACATACGATCTTAATGAAACTTTCAGAGTGTAATCATATGGTGATTATGTGTGTACATTCCAAAGCACTAGTACTTGAAATGCGTTTTTTACAAATTGGTGGAGAAGGGGGCGTGGTATCTAAAATCTGTAAATTACAAAGTCTTTGTATCGATTAACTTTATATACAACGCAAATTTGAAGACTCCAGGTCTAAACATGTTCAAATTAGGCTAAAAAAACAAAATCAATTTTTCGATTATTCTCGATAAAAAAGTTACTCACAAGTATGCATGCCAAATTTCAGCTCTCTAGCTCTTATATCTTCTGAGATCCTTTTGCTCATACGGACGAACGGACGGACGGACAGGGCAATATCGACTCAACTCGTCGTCCTGATCAAGAATATATATACTTTGTGGAGTCTGCCACGCCTCCTTTTGCCCGTTACATACTTTTTCACAAAACCATTATACCCTGATTTCCCATTTTCAATGGGTTCAGGGTATAAAAAGCATTTAATTTTCCATATATTGCATGTTTGAAATACCTATTAAATGCACATATATGTTGCCTTGATTCTGTAAACTGTTGTGGAACCAATTGCTAAGCACACCTGCATCAAATATCCTGATTCGAATCTTAAAGATTTTGGCTGATTACATTTTCCCTATTCACACTTTTCAAAAATAGTCGAATTCAATTGTGAAACGAAAAAACATCGATCGAAGAGGACTGATAGTACATAAAATTTGAGAAGTCATCTTCTCTATATTCATAGCAGCTTGTATGTTTGTGTGTGTTCGCGTTTGTATGCTTTAGCCTACAATTGAAACGATTGAGCATAGCAATCAATGACCCACAATCAAAACCGCTCGCAACACCTTTGTAATGATCATCCCCTACCCGACATTTCGCTCTCATCGGCAAAGTTGTTCTTGTCTGTACTTTTATGTCAGTATGTGTACGAGTCTACTTTTGCATGTGCGAGTCTGAGTGCGTTTTTATACCCTGAATCCATTTGAACTGGCATCAGTTTGTAAATGGCATGGTTTTGTAAAAATGTTTGTAGCAGGCAGAAGGAAGTGTGGCAAACCCCATTGAGCATATATTCTTGATCAGGGTGCTGGGCTGGGCTCTGTCCGTTTGTCTGTTAGTCTTAAATGTGCTAAAGTATAACTACTAGAGACTTGAAATTTGAAATAAATACTCATTTATACTTATGGGTACCATCTGGGCCGGATGCCATTTCGGGACGGTCAACGACGAATAATATAAATTTCACATTTACTTCACATTCTTCATTTTTAGCATCTTTAACTTACATTGGGACTTATTTCACTAGAAGTACATGAATACATTCTTATATTTCATTATTATTACATTCATGATTGGCTTCCTAATAATTCTCCACACTGCCTATTTTTCCCGACACACTAACATTGTGTCCATCAATTCTTTATGAAACTTTACAACTCATTTCAACAAAATTAAATAGAACAAATAAGAAGGCTCTAGCCGAGACTGCTCGACTAGGAGATGCCCTGAACCCTTCGAGCAATAGCTATTTCAATCATTTTTCGCGTCTTTCTGCTTACACAAGGCATACACACACGCACACACACATCATACACACACACAGATACACACACACAGAAATACGCACGCACGCATAAGCACGCATTGGCTGCAGTGTGCGCTTACGTTGAGAACTTAATTGATAATAACTTTTTTTGTGGACATACGATCTTCATGAAATTTCAGATTAAAGTCATAACGTGGATATACATGTATTTGCCAAAGCACAAGAGTCTAGTATTTGAAATACGCTTTTTACAAACATGTGGGTGAGGGGGTGGATATAGGGGGTAAATTTCAACAATAACCAAAATTGACGGGGCCTTGCCTCTTCTCCTTCGCGCAATTCTATGAAGCTCTGCCATGCCTGTAGCCGCAAAGGAGCTTATTAACGTCCAAACTGCATTCGACACCAGCTAGAAATAATGAAGTAATCCCGCCTGATGGAGCCAACTACTTCTATGAAACAGCTCTACTCTCTTCGTATGGCTCCGGAAACATACACATTCAGAAAGAATATGCGAAAGGTAAAAATTAATGTCGACATGCATACGATTAATCCATATTTCAAGTCCTATCGCCCTTTCCACCTGTTCCATCTTCATTGCCTTCGCACAATGCTGTTCGGCCTGATGGAATTGGGTAGTACGGACTTATTTATAATCCGCTGCGCTGGCTCGGCGTACAGTGGAATCATATCTAGTTGGTCGAGCGTCGCGTCAAACCACAACTGCCTCGTATTGCACTCAATATGTAGATGACCCAAATTAACACTCATCAGGAGCAGGCGTCATTCTTGTTTTAGTTCCTGAATGCTCATCAAAATCTTGTCAGCCGTTTTTGGCTCGCGGAAAGTCAATTTTGTGGCGATTGTTGGTGACGCTCCAAATCTTTATATGGGCCGATTCTACTCTCTTGCGACTGCGGGCTGGCGCGAATTGTGAAAATACATATATATGTATACTCAATAGTGTCTGTCTTATCAAAGAGAGGAGGAGAAAGAAAGTCAGAGAGACAGAGAGAATACATTAGTAAGCGAGACAGAAAGAGTTAGAAAGAGTGACAAAAAGAGAGAGGAATGTAACACAAAGCAGTGAACTAAAACTTTGAATGGGGGTCTTTATTAATGTCTAGCTTAACAGGCTTCTGCGGCTTCAATTCCCAATGGTCTTTGTTATTTTTGATAAACGGATTACGTTCTGCCAGTTGCCAGTCAACCTAAATACATCAGACCATCATATTAGGTGCATCAAAAATATGAATAATATATGTACGTACATATATATATATACAAAATCGACCATTTTCATTCAACTAATATCGAGTACGCAGATAGAGGGCTTTTTTGCTTGCAACAATAACCTCATATTTGTCGATTAATTTTTATTCTCTCCTTTCTTTCGATTCTCTACCCACTCTTCCCCGCTTCCGAGTCACACAGCTCGTGTTCTATTTATTTAATTACAGTTCCCATTCTTAATGTCGCGTTGATCCGCCTTATTGTTGGGGTTATCCTTACATGGCTGCTGTTGCTCTTGAAATAACAAATTTTTGTGGTTGCTTCCTGTTGTGTGCGTGCGCCCTGGGATTAGCTGTCCTACTCCCACTCCCAGTCTCACTCCGAGTATCACTCCCAGTCCCAGTCCCACTCCTCGTCTTGCTTGTTATGTTTAAATACCGTTTAACAATTTCCCGTCGGCAAGTTTTGTGCATTTTTTCCTGATGTTGGGTCAAAGAAAATGAACAAGAAAACTTAGAGCCAACAACTACCCTTGTTCGCAGAGCTGTTTTCTACGTATACATTTTTTGTTCTTCTATATTTATATGTACACACTGACGTATATGTATATGTTTGTGTTTAGCTTAAGCTCGTTATGAAAGGCAATTCCCTAGAGTTGATGATTTTCAAACAATTTGCGCGCATTACGGCTACTTAGTACATGAGCATCAGTATATGTACATAGAGATACATACATATGTATCTGCCCATATATACGTATTTATGCCTTATATTTTTATAAATATGGACAAATCTGAATTACACAAGTGCATAATTAAGATGTCGGAAAAAACTTTGAGCTACAGTTTTACGAAAATCACTTTGGAACAAGTATGATGACCATACATAGAGAGTTGAGATTTTCTGATTTACTGATTTTGGATACCACGCCCCCCTCACCGCCAATTTGTAAAAAACGTATTTCAAGTAGTAGAAACTAGCGCTTTGGCAAATATTCACATTTAAATGTTATTATCACTTTCTGAAAGTTTGATGAAGGTAATCACACTACACTGTAGCCCAAGCGCAGTCCGGAGGGTGAGTTTAGGGAATGAATTATATTCAATCTTAAGCACGTTCTATTTCAAATCGTTGGGCAAAACTAATTATCCTTTATGAAATGCTATAACCTTTTCAAATGAACAAGAATATGAAGACAAGAAGTCGAAAGGTCACATATAAGTTTACTATGCAAGAACGCAGAATAAGATATGATAAGTTACCTAATCTCTGGTTTCAGATTTTATTGTCAACAAATCTCAGAATCTTGAAGCTCATAAGGAAAATCTTCGAGTGATACGAAATGCCATAAATCTGGATAGTATGGGCCGAGTCTGGTGGCGGCTCCTTGGCTGACAATATTTTCCAAGCCTCATGCTATAAATTTATACAGTGACGAACAAAATTATTGGCACAGCAATTTTTTTAACGTTTTTTTAGTGAAACAAAAAATTTATTAACTAGAATTGAGTATTTATTAAATTATACAGTAAAAATATTGCGAAAAATATCAACGTACTGTTTTTTTTTTAATTCAATAACCAAAAATAAATCTCGATTTTGCTGAACAAAATTATTGGCACACCAAAAAAAAAAAACAAGTAAGAAAGCTCTAGTCGAGACTGCTCGACTACGAGATCATCTGAACCCTTCGAGCACACACACACATACAAGGCTCAGTGCTGGGGCCTCTCCTATGGAATATCATGTACGACGGCATACTGCGCTTGGAAGTACCAGCAGGTTCGCATATCATTGGCTTTGCTGATGATGTGGCTGTCGTCGTCATAGGCAAGGAGCTTAAAGATACAGAGGATATGTGCAGCGAAAGTATCAATCGCTTACGAAGCTGGTTGACAGGAGCTTGGCTTGAGCTAGCGGCGCACAAGACGGAAGCTGTCCTAGTAAGCAGTCGCAAAAAAGTGGAGACTGCCAATATAAGGATAGGCAGCGTCACCATCGCGATTAAGTTTCTTGGCGTCATGTTAAACACAAGATAACCGCAAGCACTTAGAATATGTGCATAAAAAGGCAGCTGATTCCTGTAGAGCTCTCTCAAGAATTATGCTTAACACGCGGGGACCTAAACAGCAACGACGTCTTCTTCTAATGAGCGTCATTAGGTCTGTCATCCTCGAGGCGAGGGCATGTGGAAGACGGCAACCACATTCTTTTCGCATGTGGACGGTTCGTGGAGGAGAGGCGTCGTCTAGAAGACAACATAGTCAACGCCATGCTGGAATCGGAGGAAGCTTGGGAACTAACAAGCACCTTCGCGGCCACAGTGATGATGGAGCTCCGCAGAGTCGAGCGAATAAGAAGACGAGCTGTCCCAGGCTAAGGTAGCGCATAGAGCTTGCGAAGCAATGCTTTACGGCCGTCCCGCAAGCATCGCGCGCTATCCGAGCCACCACTCAACTTGCAACTTGTAATAATAAGATTGTCAATAAACGAATATAAAAAAAAAAAATAAATAAAAACACAAACGTATACACACACACACACACATACACAAACATATACACACACAAGAACCCACGCATAAACACGCATGGGCTGCAGTGTGCGCTTACTATGAGAACTTAATTGTTTAATAACTTTTTTGTGGATGTACGATCCACAAAATCCACACGTACGTATAAGCACGCGACTGCGCTTGGGCTGCGCTGCAGTGTGGGCAATATTATGAGAATTTATTTGTTGAATAATTTCTCTTGTAGACAAATTTTAACAATATATAAATCGGAGATATACCCGAGAATGTGTTCCAAAATTCAAGTCTCTAGCTTCGATAGCGCCGAAATAAACTGCGTTCATATGGACAGACGCACGGACGGACAGCATGGCGGACATTGCACAAAACCTATATACTCATTTCACTTTCGTTAATGAGTATAAAAATAAAAATAACACTGAATTAAGAAACATTCTTGTCAATTTTTTTGCTCTCTTTATCTGCTATCCAAAAGGAAAATATTAAAGAACATGCAACTGTGTGAAAATAAAACCATTGATTGAATCCGAGTGTTATTTAAGGGCGAACGAAACAATAAAGCAGAAAAAGCCAAGTGTTGCGTTTGCCTTAGAGCTCGACAAATTACTCACAAATCAAAAAATGAGACAAATGACGGACGGTCTGCAGTACTGGTAACTACCACCAGTTACCCGTGCAGACTGCTTGGGCGAGAATAACCAGCTCAATCAGATAATTTGCAGGTATCTGGTTACATGGGCTGTAGCTTGGAGGGCTGCACCAACATCTGTCGATTCGAAGTACATCTAACTCAATTATATAATTTAATAATAATAAAATCATTTTCGTTGTGACAACGATACGGAGTATATCCTATCTACAAAGGGCACTAAAACTAAATATATAATAGTATATGTTTTTAACACTTTACAGGTGTCGCATAGCCTCAATGTATATTCATCAATATAAATATGTACACTAGCCAGAAAAACTATGCGTACAGGCCTAATATGCAACTTTGATAGAGAATAAATATGATAAATAGTAGTATTATTATCAATATTATATTTTTTAGTGAAAAACTATTTAATAACACACATTTATCAACAATTTTTTTTAAATAATATTAAAAAGTTTTTATACCCTGAACCCATTTTCAATGGGAAATCAGGGTATAATGGTTTTGTGAAAAAGTATGTAACGGGCAGAAGGAGTCATCGCAGACCCCATAAAGTATATATATTCTTGATCAGGATGACGAGCTGAGTCGATATAGCCCTGTCCGTCTGTCCGTCCGTCCGTATGAGTGCGTCGATCTCAGAACTTATAAGAGCTAGAAAGCTGAAATTTGGCATGCATACTCGTGTATACCATACGCAGTACGAGTTTGCTTTATTTTTTCATAGTTCATCGAGAATAATCGAAAAATTTATTTTGTTATTTCAGCCTAATTTGAACACTTTTAGACCTGGAGTCTTCAAATTTGCGTTGTATATAAAGTTAATAGATACAAAGATTTTGTAATTTACAGATTTTGGATACCACGCCCCCTTTGCGCCCAATTTACAAAAAACGCATTTCAAGTACTAGAGACTTGTGCTCTAGAATGTGCACTCATTTTGACCATATGATTTAGCTCTAAAAGTTTCATTAAGATTGTATATCTACAAAAGAAATTATTCAACAAATAAATTCTTATAATGTTGCCCAGCCCAAGCGCAGTCGCTGCCTACTGCGCAGTTAGCAGAGCGCATTGTTCGAGCAGTCTCGACTGGAGCCTTCTTACTTCATTATAGTCATTAACATCAGAGGAGAGAGAGCCTTCGCTATTTAAAAAACACGACGATACAAATACATATATACAGCGGTATAGTACAATTTTAAAGCCGTAAGAGCTAGAGACTTGATTTCTTAAATGCCTGTATATACAGCGTGAATATCGAGTTTTTCTTCATAAAACGATAAGTACTCCCGTTATTTTTTTATCGATTAAAAATTAAAAATCAGTTATATAATTATATCTCCTACATCTTTAAAGCCAGAGTCTCCCAATTTTATACTATGTAGATTCAATGTGTATTTTATAGAATTTCGATTTTGTATAGTTATAAGATATAGTTAGTTATAATTTAGCCACGCCTCCTTCTGCCTGTTACATACATTTCAAAAAAAAAACTATTATACCCTGAATTCACATTTTAAATGGGTTCAGGGTATAACAAGTAAGAGGGCTCTAGCCGAGACTGCTCGACTAGGGGCTACCCTGAGCCCTCCAAGATGATATTCTAATCATTCTGCACTTCTTTTATACATACACATGCATCCACACGTACGTATAAGTACGCTGCTAATTGCGCAGTATGCAGCGACTGCGTTTGGCGCTGCCCTGCAGTTTGGGCAATATTATGAGAATTTATTTGTTGAATAATTTCTCTTGTAGGACTTTCTTAATGAATCTTTCAGAATCATAATGTTTAAATGTGTGAACATGCCAAAGCACAAGTCTGTAATAAATGAAATACGTTTTTTACAAATTAATAGGGGCATGGTATCCAAATTCTGTAAATTGCTAAATCTGTATATTTATTTATATTACATATTCTTAAAAAACGAAAATAATTGATTGATTATTCCCGATACAAAAATAACAATGAGGTTTCAAAAAATATGATAAGCTTGTTCTGCGTATGGGTATGGAATGTTTGACGTTTGAACACGTCCCGCCTAGAAACTATAAGAACTAGGAACTTGATATTTTTCTCATTCTTTTTACGTACCCATATGGCACAAGCGAATGATATTTCTTTTTGTTATTGATAATTACATATTTGCGATTAAAACTCTATAAAAATCAGCTCTTAAATGATATTTTGCTTATATTTGGAGCTAGAGCCTCAAAATTGGATAAAAATCAATGAGTAATTAAAGGAATTTGAATTTCCGTTCTATTGAAATCCAACCCAAAAAAATATATTTCAAATATTAACAAGTAATAAGACTCTAGTCGAGACTGCTCGACTAGGAGATACCCTGAACCCTCCAATCTGATATTCTAAACACTCTGCACTTCTTTTCGGCACACATACGTACACACGAAAGTATTAAAACGCGATCTGCTAACTGCGCATTAAGCAGCGACTGCGCTGCAGT